GCAAGCAGATTCAGAAGGCATAGTCAAGATCAGCGCTCTATGCTGTTCAATGGTGTTTAGCTTGGGATTGGTCACTTTGGCTTTATTCTATTCCTTTGTAAGTTTAGAAACTCAAGGTGCACTCAAAGGCACCGTCTACCCAAAGCGGGGGTTGATGAGATTATGATGGCATATTATGTGGACCCCCCTCTCCCCACACTAGGCATACCTCCAAGTTGGGCTACAGAGATTGTTACCAAGCGAGAAATCAGCAGCCCCCGACGTTTAACAGCGCCGCAGCCCTGCGACGCCCCGTGCACCCGTCTTCCGGGTTTCCAAGACGGGGATTTTTGGGTTTCGCGGATTTTCGACTCCATTTTTGAAATCAGGGCCTGCAGAAGGCATGATAGCGACAAAAACAGGGAAGTGGAGAATTTGGTTAGACGGCGCCTTCAACATCAAATGGCTAATCGTATCTATCCCTGATCTCGCAGAAATATTTTTCTCTGACTATCAAAAAGTTAATGAAGCTGTCCCTTTCTTGCTCTTATGCAATTCCCAACATTACGAAAGATCGATTATCGAAATTATGACGCGAATTGTAAAACAGGGACTCTAGATCACCGTCCGCATTAAGAATGCTGGTGCATACTGAATGCTTTCTACTTTCTATCATCAGCAGCTGAGTAATCAGTTTCCTTTTTTAAGAAAAAAAGACGACAAATAGAAACTTTACGTAAAGAATGTCCTTCAACGTCGAATGGAGGTCATGATTAGTGACAAGCTCCTTGCTGTTTGCCTGCAATTGCTCATGTATCCGAGATTTGCGCAAGTGCTCTGGTAACACAATATATAAAAATGGATTTTTCTGCTCTTCTTTATTGACGGACGTCCTCGCCTCCTAAAACTCAAGTAAAAATTCATTGTGTGTTCACCTCTGCGATGGCGCTGTGACTAACCTGTCCGAATCTCGGTCCATGGTCAGACATAAAAAACACGAAAGATTTGTCAAGCTAAAAGTGAACAAATTTGTTGAATGTTTTTTTTTGCTTCTAATTTACCTCCCTCCTATTTGAAACGAAGTAGTTATATAAGTCGTTATCGGCCACATACAAATTTCTCGTATCGTCATGTGTTAGTTCGACCATTGATACAAGCGAAAACTTTGGAGTTTCTAAAATTTTGTTTCTTCATTAAAAATGCACAACGATAGCTTGTGCTTACCTGAATAAGAGTTGAGAAACATAGAGTGATATTCCAGCATATTGTTGTGTGACTGACGACATCTATTTCTCTTATGAATCTGCCGAAGTTCGTTATCACTACGGACGCGATTATGAAAAGGCCTATTGTATTGATAGTTACTTCATCGATGCAAGAGAAGCATTGAAAGAGAGTTTTCGAAGGGATGATCAAATGTATAGTATAGTTTACTGCTGTGTTTGCATATGTGCAACGCAAAGATTTCAGATAAAGGCCTCACCACAACTTTCGATGATAGATCAATAAACAACGGACATTTTTT